CCACCGACGTCCAGGTTCGAGCCTCACGCCTCGAGGATCGAGATCCTCTGGCCCCTGGCGGCTCTCCTCGTCGCGGCCGGACGCGGCGCGGAAAACTTGTGCGCTCGGACCCCGGGAGGGTTCCGGGGGCCCATTTCAATCGGGTTCTGGCCGACGGGGGCGGACGACGACGACGACGACGACGACGACGGCGACGACTTGGACGACGACGACGACGACGACGGGGCAGCAGTCAGCGCAACTTCCCGGCAACAAGCGCGTAGGGGCACTCGCGCTTGGCATTTTTGGCGGGGGAAGATGGGGGCGGACAGCGCGATGGACCCCCCAGCTCGCTCAGCCTACCACGCGATGAAAGCATGCGGTACACGCGCAGGGGCAAACATTTCGTGAGCAGCCGTCGGGGCAAGCATTCGGTCAACGGCCCTTGCGTTATGCATGTCAACCCTACGCGGGGGAAGGAGGAGAGGAAGGGGGGGGGAGAAGGAGGGGGAAGAGGAAGACGAGGGACTTGATGTGCAAATGGCACCCTCGAGCGACAACTGTCGGCATCGCACGGAATTGTGACAAACATTGGATCGAAGCTCATCTTGCCGAGACAGGGTATGCAGGGCAGAGAAAGGGAGGGAGGGGTGGAACACGTGGCACTCAGAGCGGGGTTCAAAGGCGCGGCCTCGAAAATCTGCAATGGCCCTGGAGCCGGACTCGCGCTGGGCAAACATGTCTTCAGAAACACTGCGCAAACAGGTCGTCATAAACAGTGGACACGAATATGTGGTGCAAGCTATCGCGTCTCCGTTAAACCCCTCGTGAAAACGGGGCGCCAGGCAGAAATTCCCCGCGAGCTTCCCGGAAGCATGCGATATCGAATGGGCCGGCACACCCTATCAGCAGCAACCAGCAATCAACTTGAGGGTAGCATCCGCGCGGCGGCGGGCGGTGAAAACAGGGCGCAGCACGACTGTGAAGCAGAACGGCGAGGCGCCCCGCGATCGCGAAGCAGAAGAAGGAAACGCTCCACGACTACGGAGTAGAATAACGAATCAAGCAGAGAACGAGGCAGGGAGGAAAAGCCCGCCCCAGGGGGGTAGGGGAGGGGAATCAAACCTCGAAGCTCTATTCAGCACGCGCACTGACGAAGCGCACTGGAAGCGCACTCGTTTGAATCAGCGCCAAGAAGGGGGACAAGCAAGAAGAGGATGTAGGGGAGGAGGACGAGGGGGTGGCCTGGAGAAGGGGAGGGGAGGGAGGAGGAGGAGGAGGAAGAGGAGGATGATGATGGTTTTGAGAATGACGATTGAGAAGAGCTTGGAGTGGGTGAACGAGGAGAGCAGGAGGCGGGGTGGATCCTGGACAAGGAGCGCTACGAAATCCGTGCGTCCCACGAAGCAGGGATCAATGGGAAAAGCAAAAATCACAGATCCCGGCAAGAGACTAAAACAAACATTCTTGAGAGGCCGTCCCAGGAATTCACACTTTTTGCCTCGCTCGACCCTGGAGGTGCTTGGCCGCAGCACGGGGGCAGTGCGGCGGCAGGGGCTTGCGGCACTACGCTTTGGGGCGCAGGGGTTCTGCAGGACCTCCTAAAGGAGGGGCGGTGGTGCGAACGGCAACCACCACTGAGCAGCCCATCGCGAGGCTACCCCCTGCCCCCATCCGGCTTCTATCGTTAGGCCGGACCTCGGAAAAAAAACGGCGGTGCCCCCGGGCACCCAGCGGCGGCAAGCGAAGAGGAAGCTTGGCGAGAGTCAGTACGCAAGAGGGGGGAGGAAGGAGGGGGAGGGACATGAGGGCAGTTCTACGTGCTCAGGCGCGCGCCCTGGGCCTGGTTGCCCTCGCAGACTTTGCCGGTTGCGCTGTTCAATGCTCCGCTTCTGCATGTTGCGTCGGTGGTGGTGGGGCGGTGGTGGGAGCCTCAAAGTGCTATGGCATGACAACTGCTGCATGCTTCACTGCTGATGCTACCTGCTCCTCCCTCCACGGCGGTCTTCGGCTAAGTGTGAATCACCGGGCCCCCTGCTCACACAAAAAGGCCCTATCATGTCACACTTTTTGCCTCGCTCGACCCTGGAGGTGCTTGGCCGCAGCACGGGGGCAGTGCGGCGGCAGGGGCTTGCGGCACTACGCTTTGGGGCGCAGGGGTTCTGCAGGACCTCCTAAAGGAGGGGCGGTGGTGCGAACGGCAACCACCACTGAGCAGCCCATCACGAGGCTACCCCCTGCCCCCATCCGTCGCCCCCAATTCCGACTTCCAGTCGCCGGAAGCCCCTGTGCCGCTGTACCTCTGGTCACGCCTGCAGAACCGCGCGCCTTCCGAGGTCGGCGGCCTGCTGCACCAGCGATTCTGTTGCATTGCGGGACCAGGCGCCCATTTCTGCAGCAGCTGTCTCAATGTACACGCGCGCTGTCCGCGCGTGCTGCCAACGCCCCACCACCATGACTCGGTCGAGCGATCCCGACAGCAACCACAACCATGTAGCACCACCTCTCCGGAGCCCGTAGGGCGTAACTGTGTCCCCACTGATGCCGAAGAACTGCGCCAGCCATTTGTACTCGTGCGCGAAATGGTTTGGTGGTTTGGTGTAGAGAGGCTGGGTGTGAGACCGGCCTGCAGATGCCGCCTGCAGGGCTTTGATGGCGACTGCGTCGTGGATGATGACGTGCTCGACGTTGCCGCCTTTTCTTTTGGCTGTTTTGGTGCCGTACAGCATAATTAGAACCTTGCGGCCATCTGGGCTGACGTGAAGTTGTCCTGCTTTGAGTCCCACTATTTCGGCTGTTCGCAACAAGCCGAGGAATCCTGCAAGGAGGAGCGCGGGGGAGCTCCCAGGATGGCCGGGGGGAGCGGGAAAGCTCGCTTACGGTGTAGGACCGACCCCCAATTGTGCAGATATTGCCGCGCTGTTGGTATGGCCGCGCGGGCCCCCGGGTAGAAGCGTGACAGCCCGCATATGGTGTCGCTGGCGTATCCGTGCGAATCACCTTCCTGCCACATGTGGCTTATGTACTCAGCGAGAGTAGAATCCAATTCAAACAACGATTGCGGAATGCGTATATTGTATGTCCGAAGGTAATAGAAAAATGATATCAGTGCTTTCGTGTATCGCTCTCTTGTCTTTGCTGTGATGCCTACTTCCCTCAGGTGTCGTTTTACCCCTGGTCGGGGCTTCTGGCGGCTAGCCTTCCCCATCGCCTGCGCGAAGGCGGCTCGCGGCGCCCGCGAACTGCCATTCTGATATGGTCCAGACACCGAAGGAGTAGGCATCCATTGCGAGTTCCAACGCCATGAGTTCCCGCCGCGGTCTGTTGAGGCGCCGGCTGGAACTGCGGCCTTTTGCGACTACAGCCGCGGCCACTTGGCTGTCAAAGACGTTGATGAATCGCAACGAGTGGTAACAACGAGAGCGAGACTTCTTTCGGACATAGTTTAAATACGCAATTAATTCCAACACGTTGATATGTTGTTTCGCTTTCCACCGGTACGACATGACAACGCGCCATTTCCAGGCGAATGCCGGGTAGGGCACAGTTTGCCGCAAATCGGCAACTTCGCTGGTGGACATCCACACACGAGCGCCTTTAGTGTCCGCCCACGAAAGCATGGACCGGAGGTGGGCTTGCTCCCCTCCAGGGACCATGCGTTGCAGGAGTCGCACGATCTCCTGGGCCGCTGGCGCTAAAGCGCCCTGGGTGCCTCCCCGGCGGGCGCGCGCCAGCTGGGTTTCTACCCGCGCTGGCTGGTCCGAGGGCGCTGCTGGCACGCCTTGTTGCCCGAGCTCGCGCAGTGCTCGGGCAACGGCGCGGGAGTATGCTGCACAGAACTGTTCCTGCGTGCACGCAGAGGCGCCTCGCTGGGCGACCGTCTCTTCTGCCGAGAACGTTTGTTCAAGCAGGCGGCAGTTGTGTAGCAAACACAGATCCGTGTCGCCCGCGGCGGGCGCGACGCCCGTCACGGTGACCCTGGTGCACAATACACCCTTGTAGCGGAGGAGGGACTGCACCCCTTCGCTCTGCCACAGCGGGCTATCCCAAGGGTGTTGCACGACAGCGAAGCCCCAGTGCAGCACACGCCACAATAGCCTTTGGACTGCCAGCTGTCCGTGTGCGTCGGCGTCCACCACACTTCGGCCGCCTAGCCCTGCCGCGCGCCGGTGGCGCGGGCCGGCGGCGTGTGCCAGGCGGCGCGCGCCCGCGTGCGAGCCCCCAGGCACTGTCCAGTGCTCCCACGCCGTGAACTCATCATCGGTCTCCAGGCGCACATGCTTTTGGCCGGACTCTGACAGCACTTGGGAGCCTGGCGGGCGGGATGGGTCAAGGGGAAGGCACACTTCGACCCCTGCGCGAGCAACGGCCCAAGACAGGCGGGCCTCTGGGCCTGACCCGCTTTCAAAAAAGCCGGGCAAACGCACGCCTGCGAGCGAACATCCTTGACGCCGATGCTGCAGCAGGCAGTCCACGCAGCGCGTCGCGGCACCGCACTGGGCGGGGCAGACGGCCCCGCCTGCCCCGCGCGCGTCGGGGCGGACCTGGACCGCACACGCTGCGCACGTCTGCGGCCGCGCCGGGGCGAAGGCCGAGTCCTCAGCCAGTTTGGCAAAATGTGCCTCCAGGCGCGCTCCCCGTTGTGGGTCCACAGCGGGTGTGAATTGAGCTGCTTCCGCGGCCCCGCCGCCGTCCTCGGAGGCGTCTGTGCACGAAATGGTGCGCTTAACAGGCGCCCGGAGATTCGTGTACGCGGAGAGGGAGCAAGACAAGCACGGCGATCATTCGTCTATTAACCGCTGCGTCTGCTGGCGGCAGGCGCGTCCGAGGGCGGTCTGGCTAGCTGGGAAGATTGCTCGATGACAGCGTCGAGGGGCCGGCTGAAGCCAGCGGCGAACATGCCTTGACCCCGGATATGCTGGAGGAGCCTGCCTGCAATCACCCGCGGCGTTGTCCAAACCACCGAAACCGCGGTTTTGACCACAAGGGCGTTGGCCCCTTCTCTTCGGCCCAACTTCAACTCACCCCATGATGGCAATCCACATGCCCCCCAGGATGCCTGCGCGCAACTGCGCCACTAGGGAGTTGGCCGGGTTCAGGGGGATTCCGTGTTTGGCGCACGCAGCGACGAAATGCTGATGCTCCATGGACTCCACGATTTGCAACTTGCACAGGCGAGATTGCGCTTTCCGAACAAAGTCGAATCCGTCGAGGCACACGATGCTGACGTCACCGTCTGGGAACGCTCTGTCCCGCCGTAGTTCAGTGCGGGGGTCGGCGCCAACGATGTCGAAGACGAGCGTGCGGATGACTCGTTGCATGATGGAAACCGCAATCTTTGAACCCATGGCTACACTACGAATACCGACCCAAGCCATGCGGTTGGGGTCGTCACCGAAAGCCGCGGCAGATACTTGCTTAGAGTACGTACAATATCCTAGCCATTCGTCCGGGAGGCGGAAGATATTGAAGCATCCTTTTTGGTCCTCGGCATCGTCCCAGAGCTCCTCGCCGTCTTCGAGAATGCACGCATTGAGCATGGTGGCCGTGGGCAGGGTGTGGTCGTCCCCCCGCAGCTTGCGCATGTAGGAGTTAATCGGCGTGAAGATCGATATGAAACGCAAGAGGGTGGGGCCAGGAACTGGCCCTTTGGGGTGCTTGTCAATCCCCATTGCGCCGTTGACGACTGGCCGGCCTGCGGAATCTCGGAAAACGAGCTCGTCCGGGACTTCTGCGAAGATGCCTCGGGCAGCCCCTTCTTTGACAATCTTGTACCATTCTGTGTCGGACGCCTAAACGCGCGACCTCGGGGGTTCCTCCGGCCATTGCTCCGGAGGGAGCAGGCGCGATCTGGGGTCACGCACGTCGTCCAGCAGCTCTCCATCGAGGAACGACACCACGGGGACAGATGCAGCCTCGCCGCGCTCCGGCCAAGCAGGGAAAACTTTTTCGGCGACGAGCTCCCTCCGGACCGCCACGGCTTCTCCCGCGTAGTCCGTCCGGCGGGCGAAGAGGTCATGCTCGATGGCCGTTATGGACGGCAAGGGGCTTTCGCGGGACAAGAAATCCACTGCAGCTTCCCACAAGTGCTGGACGGAATGTCTTTGGGTGCTGGACAAATGGCCGGCACTGGCGCCAGGCTGGTCGTCGGGGCCCTCTGGGGCCCCGGCCCACGCGCCCGTTCCGAAGAAGTTGAGGGACGTGACCATGCACCATACTGCCGCACGGCAGCGCGATGCGAACTTCGCGGCGTGTCCTGCTGCTACAGACAGGATCTCTGCGTGCTGCCGCGCAGCTGTGGCCGGAATCGGCAGAAGATCGCCGCGGGGCTGGGTGCCCGAGGGCTGCGTGCCCGAGGGGTGCTTGGGCTGCGTGCCCGACGATTGGTGGTCTAGAGGCTGAGTGCCCGAAGGAGGGTCGAGCGAGGCGACTCGTCCGAGCTTTGTTGGTAGGTGCGGCATTGAATCTTCAAACAGTTCCCACACTTCACTGTCACTGTTCCGTCGGCTGGTGGGTGGGAAGATTGGGGGGGGGGGTGGGGATAGGCTTTCGCTCGGGTCGGGCGAAAGGGGGGGATAGCAAAGGGGGGGTTTAGAATCACCTCACTTAGCTTGATTTTCCTGGCGCCTCCCTGGGGGGGGGGGGGGGGGGGGGGGGGCCCCCCCGGGGGGGGCGCCGGAGGCGGCGCATGTATCGAGGAATGGGCCCCTCGGTGAGGCCGAAACCAGCTGCATGCAGCAAATTTCGTAACCCCCCCTTTCCCAATCCCCCCCTTTCGCCCTGCCCGATCGTCCAGCAGCGTGCTCTGCCACGCAGACAACGGCGCGCCACTGCGCGCCGAGCAGGCGGTGGCGACGGCGGTTCGCACGGCCTTTTTGGCTTGGCTTTGACCGCGTCGAAGCAAAGGGGAAGGGGGAGGATCGGGTCGGGCGAAAGGGGGGCGATAGCAAAGGGGGGGGTTGAGAATCAGCTCACGGAGCTGATTTTCCAGGCGCCTCCCGGCGCCGGGAGGCGCCCATGTATCGAGGAACGGGCCCCCCGGCGGGGCCGAAACCAGCTGCACGCAGCAGATTACGTACCCCCCCCTTTCCCAACCCCCCCCTTTCGCCTGGCCCGAGAGGAGAGAGACGGGGAGGAGGGGCAGAGTGGAGGGAGGGGGCAGTGCGCTCGACAGTAACGCCTTCAGCGCTTGTCTGAATTCCAGTTCCTTTGCATGCCGGGGCATCAGCTTGGCCCGGGGGGCCCTTGGCACGCCTTCGCCGTGGCACGGCCCAACACCCGGAATCGACATCCAGGGCGGGCCGGGGCGGGGCCAGCGCGTGGCTCGCTACCACCACTTCCCCTTCGCTTTGGAGCTCCCCTTCGCTGAGGCCTTGCCGGAGTGCGCGGGGCCTTTCCCCTGAAAAGGGTTGCCCTTGCCAGCGTTCTGGCTCTCCTCCAGGCTGACCTCCCTGTGGCCGCTCCTTTGGCTGCCTTTGCCCTGGCCCCCTTGGGGCCGAAGCGCCAGCTGCTGCTGCGCCTTCGTCTCGCTGCGCATCATGTACTTCTCCTTCCTGCTGACGAGCGTGGCCGAGTCGTCCTTGACGAGTTCGAGGAAGCACGCGCGCTCCCACGACTGGTCCACCACCGACTGCTCGACGGCTTTCAGGTGCTGGACTATGAAATCCATTGCCTTGTCTGCTTTGTTCTGGACGAGGAGATCCAGGAGCTTGCACATGAGGGCCATGTCGTTGCGGTTGCGCTTGGACAGGTTGTACTTCACCTCGAGCACCCTGAGAAAGTAGGCCGACGCCGCCGCCGGAGGCTCCTTCTTGTGGTCGTCGCTGTCGCTGTTGGCCTCTCCCCCAGGAGTCACCCTCTGCGCCATGGTCCACATGGCGCTCCTGGACAGTCTCCCCGGGTGCTTGCGCGCGAAGCGCATAAGACGTTCCTGCGTGGACTTCTGTCGAACGCCTTCTGAGGTCGAGGCCACGTGAAAACCCATCTCGCACGAGTCGCTGCAGCTTGACTCGCTCCTGGGTTTACGCCGGCGGGGGCTGCGCGACCCCCGCGGGGCCCGCCTGCGGCGCGACCTGCTGCGGGGCGACGGGCCGCGGGGCTCCCTGTCCCGGTCGCCCGGCGAACCCCGTCGGCCCGAGGGAGCCGCGTCGGCGTCCTCCCGGGCTCGCGGTCGCCCGTCCCGCGGGGCGGGGGCCGCCTCACGGCGGCCCTGCGGCGCTCCGCCAGCGTCGTCGCGCTCGGCCGGCGAGCGCCCCCCCCGCGCCGCGGGGGCCGCGTCGCGGCGGCCCCGCGGCCCCCCGCCAGCGTCGTCCTCGGCCTGCCTGCGCCCGCCCCGGGGCGCGGCGACCGCCTCACGGCGGCCGCGTGAACGGCTCGGGGGGCGCCGGTCGGCCCTCTGCTCCACCCGTTCCCCCCTGCCGCGGTCGCGGCCCTCGCCGGCCTCCAGCCGCGAGCGCAAGTCAGAGAGGCCTTCTCTGACGCTGCCGTGTCGGCGGTCGTCGTAGTCCCCCCTCCCTGTGGTCCATCACGTACAAAAAACTGTCCGTTACGGACAGTTTTTGTACGTGATATTTTACGTGCAGTTATGGGTTCCAAGATGTACGTTGAAGTTGTGGCTGTTGGAGCGCGCAGACGCTTTATGAGTGTATCGTTCGGGTTTTCCGCGCTCAGTGCCGTTGAGCACTCGCCCCAGGCGTTACCCAACAAATGGTTTGAGCCAAAATGGCGACGGAGGAAGAGGATAAGGAAGAGGAGGCAGCGGCGGCGGAGGAGGAGAGGAGGAGGAGGAGGAGGGAAGGAGGAGGAGGGGGGAGGGGGAGGAATACCCCCCCGCTCCTCCTCTCGCCCCTGCCGCGGCCGGCGGGTGGCGCCTTGACCTGACGTCCAACGGCGGGTCGGCCGCGCGCCTCGCCTCTCGCCCCGCTCCTCTTCTCTTCTCCTCCCTTTTATCCGCAGAACATGTTCCCTTGTTGTTTCTCATCCCAAGCCCCGCTCTCCTCCTCCCCCTCCTCCCATCATCCGCTTCCCTTTCCTGCCTCCCCGTCTCATACCTCCTCTGCTCCTCCTCCCCTGGCCACCCCTCCCTCCTCACCCCTCTTCTCTCCACCGCTCCCCACTCCTGCATCCTTCCCCGCCCCCCTCCCCCTCCCCCCCTTCCTTCTTCCCCCATCCTCCTCTTCCCCGTCCTCCTCCTCCTCCGCCTGTTCCCCCTGTTCGCCCAGCCCCTCTTCCACCTGCTCCTCCTGCTTATGCTGCTCCTCCTGCACCTTCGGCCCCTCTTGGTCCTTTTTCGGATTTCGGCTCGATCGATTGCCCTGGTTTCTCTGATTTCGCTTTCACTGGTTGTCCTGCTTCATCGGATCTCGACTTCGCTGGTTTTCCTGGTTCCTCGGATCTCGACTTTGCTGGTTCCCCTGGTTCCTCGATCTCGACTCTGCTGGTTTTCCTGTTCCTCGGATCTCGACTTTTCTGGTTTCCTATTTCCTCGGATCTCGACTTTGCTGATTTGCACGGTTACTCGGAAGGGGGAGGAGGCGGATGGGGGAGGAAGAGACGGTGGGGATCTGTTTACATGTGTGCTAATTTGTCCGATACCTCTTCCCACGCAAATAGCAAATTGTTGTTATGCGTGTGTTGCGTGATGTTTGTGGGGTTACTTTTTACACAAGGAAAGGCATCGACAGTAACACGCTCTCCTCGAACGTCACCTGGGACTGCTCGCGACATGCACCTTTCAAAACTCTATTGAGCCCCTCGTCTGTCCAATTTGCGTAGAACCGTGGGTTCCCCAAGAACGCAGCCCGCTGAAGCATGCGCCACAGGATGTGGCGCTTTGGCGTAAGCAATCGCTCACAATGACGGGTGAGAGAACAAAACCGTTTCCAGTGTTCCAAACACTCATCTATGTCGGAGTCACAGAATTTCCAGCCGCTGTCATCCATGCGGTAGCACAGTTTGATCATGCATTCCGCGGCCTCGAAAAGTCGAACCGACTCGCGCTGCAAGCGGCCTTGAGTCTTCCAACGACGGTTGAACATGTGGACTCGAAATAACAGGAAGCCCCGTGTTTCAGCGCCTTTCGTCCTCAACTTCCTGTCTGAATTTGCGCCAAACAACTTGGCGCTCATGGCGTGGATTTCCGTCAGAGTCGAATTCAAGCCTGTTTCTTTCCATTCGGTGTAGAACCCATGAAGTTCGTGCTTCATCGCAATGGCAGCGACCTCGAGATTGTGCTCCACTGCCCCTGCCGTGCCCCACAGGCCAGCGTCAACCGTTGCCCACGCGAGCTCCCTGCGCAGATCCTTCATGCAGCCGAGGTATAGCGCGTGAAGCGAATCGATGCAAGTATGCGTGCACGGGTCGACGCCAAATTCGATATCATAGATTGGGTTTCTATGCCGAGCAATTGTTTCAGCAGACGGTCTCCAAATAAGAATTGGGCATGGAAACTGCGTGATTCTGAATATTGCTGACACATCTGGCATCCACTTTGTTGGCTCCACCCTGTCCCCCTGCTGGAGACCGAGGGCGGGCAAAGCAACCTCAAGGGCTAGACCTTTTGACGGACTGCTTCCGGATCTTTTGTCGTAGAACAACACGTCGCGCAGGGCCTTGTGGGTGTCATGCGACAGAACAACACCATGCCCACGCATCTGACAGGCCCAATCGCAATCACCGACAACGTTCTCTCTGAAAGGAGACCCAGTTAAACTCCAGCCAACATCGAGATACAAGTTGTCGCCAAACCCATTGCATTGGAAGCGCGGCCTCAAACTGTCACCCCATGAGGGCCACCCAAACGTCGTTGATAATTCAGCCCAGTCGGCCTTGTTATAGATGAGCACACCTCTTGCGCGCATCAATTTGCCAGCCAACGTCTTCCTGTAGGAGTCGTCATCTTGAAATTCCGTTCCGTCGCGGCGCTCAATTGGGAAGGACCCTTTACACAAGCTGCGTAGGCTCCACGCTATGAAAGAAAAAAATGAAATATGTGCACCAGCCCCTGCAGCCGCAATGACACGCAAGTTTCTTGCGTACTAACGCGAATAACGCTCGAGATTGCGCGACCATGTTCACTAACCAAAAACCGACTGCTGTGTCGGTTTGGCTGTGCGGGACACCATCAGTGAACAACCCCAGCGGTATGATTGGCGAGTCTGGCCCCATATGTGCTTGGACAACTGGGTTCTCGAAGAAACACGGTGGCATT